GAAAGCAAATTATCCGTAAGTATAACTGGGAAAAATGAGCACCATGATAATGCGCGTTACTCCTCAACAATTTTATTGAAAAGCTGCTCAAATTTATTTCCTCATCACATGGTTCTCTACATCACTATGTACTTAGTCTTATTGTAATGATGGTTTGATTAATGAGGAAAGGAAAAAACTTTGTCGCGCAACTTACGCAATTAAATTAAGCAAGAAACTCATTAGATAATTATTTGCGTTAGAAGAATGGCCAGGTGGTACCGTAAGAAAATCGTTGTGACAAAAAAATTCAAGAAAATAACAATTGGTATATCTGTCGTTTACTTAGCTGCACAACACCAAATGATAAATTATATAAAAGGTTTCGGCAGCATGAAGCGACAGGCAGCATCTGTCAAAAATTAAACTACACACGTTCTTATGGTCGCAGCTATTTAAACAGCAGCACGACTTCACGGCAGCAGGCTTGCAGTTGTCGCTGCCGCTAAATTAAAACCATTTCTAATGTTGCCGAGGACAATGGGCAGTTGTAGTGTTGCCACTAATATGTGAAATGAAAATTATTCAAAGCTCTAACAAATCTAATGTTGTTTTACCAACAGAAGCATAAAGCAGCAGTGATATATTATTTGTAATAACAATTCATAATTCAAAACAATGCATCGACCTATTTACATATTGCTTTGAACAAAAAATTTCACTTTGAACAAAACATTTAAATTTCATTGAAGTGAAAGGTTTTAGTGCGGCAACAACGAAATTGTGTACCGCAGCAGTTTGATATGTCGCTGCCGTCTTCAAAATATTCAAGAAGCTAGCTTCTACACGACATTTGCCAACTAGAAAATTTCGCTGTTATGCAGTCGTGTCGTGCCGTCGTCATTGTGTTCAGAGCATGACATCACTCAGCTTTAACGTTATTATCACTTTAGTGTTTTCTTCATTAACACCACTTAAACACGCTTTATTGATTATTATTAATAGGCAACCCTTACGATATAGATACATACATAATGCAATCAACATATCTCCTCAAGTATAGTCAAGCACCTAACGTATCATCACACCGTCACATTCAGCTTCTTACATAAATTTCCTGGAAATCGCCAGTCAAAGTGGTATATATATTTTTATGGGGCTGCGGCAATGTCATACAAAACAGTCGTAAAACTCCTTAGCAAAAGACGTCAGTAAATCCGAAATCCAGCAGTGTGCGCACCTCAAATGTGAAAGTCAAATGGCAGGTGGCATGTCGGAACTTAGATGGCAGGAACCGCCCTAAGGGCTAAAGTTGCTTATATCTACGTTTCTAACCTTACTTTTATGTTTGTGCACATAATAAGGCGCACATCTAAGCGTGTGCGAACATTATTGTCATTGCATTTTGTGCCACTTCCGCATTGTCAAGACGTTAGAAATTTCAGTTAAGCGTGTAATAATTCTTTTTTATTACCCGGCTCTTTATGCAGAGGTGTATAGGCGAATAAGTGCGTATCTGCCAAAGGACATGCGCGTTTCGTTTTCTATGTGTACGTGTATTTATGTGTCTCTTAAAAATGCACTTTGTCGTCCGGTTTAGCATAATTTTTATAGCTCTTCTACTTATTTTATGTGTGTGTGTGTTTGTGCATAGATTTCTTCAACAATATCGTCACAACAACTCGTTTGCATGTTCGTTAATCTTTGTGTTTGCGATATGGAACTGATGTCAGTGCGGCATTTGTATGAAATGGTGGTTTATTTTGCTAGCTAGTTATACTGTTCATTCTTAATTTTGAAATATATACCTTAAGGAGCTCTTACTTACCAGTAGTAGGTTTATTGGCTTGGACTGGTTAAAATGTAGTTGAATACTCAACTAGTATAAAATTCAAAAATACTTGAGACATGGCATTTTATAAATAAAATATTCAAAATGTTGCAGCTCGTTGAAGTGTGCCGAGAAAGCGACTATCAAAGGCCAACTTACAGTAGCCTTTATAAACACCTTACATAGTTAATATGTCAACGTTCCTTGAGTTAAAATTTCCTGCAAACCTTATTACTAAACCATAGAGTAGACTCTACTTGAACGTGTGCAACACTTTTGCAGCTTTAAGCTTAATTTATATTGATCGATTACAGGTGGTGGCTGTCTTAATTGCCACATGGCCATAGGCGATTTTCCACAACTTTTAATTATAAGTCAATTTATTGTATGAATTCGCCCATAGATACATATGTATATGTTTGTAAATTTATGTGCATATTTGCAAAAACAAACTGTGGGCGACACACCATCACACATACACATTGCCATAAAGTCAAAGGAGCAGCAAAATGTGATTGACAAAGGCCAACAATAATTCTAGTTTTTTTTTTTGTTTTGTTTTTGTATTTTTTGCGCTACCCATTCCACGTTATTTATGTGCGCACAACTAGTTTTGTTATTTTTACTGGTTGCTGTTGTGTCGCTCTCGTCTTTTGTATATTTGCTAAAGGACTTGACAACATGTTGCACTAAATTTTCTTAGTGGCATATACTGAAGATACCTAGAAAGTGATGTATGCGAAGCTATAGACATACATACGTTTGTATTGTATGTACTTTATATAATGTGTTATACACATACATACAAATGTATGTATGTTATATCGCAAGCAAAGGGGCCATAAACAACACCGTCAGCGTTTAATTAAGGAAACGACTACTTGACATGTGGCGAGCAGCCACAAATTTTGTATGCCAAAAGAACAGGAACAACAATAACAACAAATTACAATAACTGAAAATGCCAAAGGAAAGGTAGAAGGCGCAATGTAACCCAGTAGAAATGCGCGCTGTAGGTCGTAGCGTTACTTAGCATCCGTTCGGTCTTCAAGCCCATTTACTGCTGTAAGAGTTTTCAAAGTGGATAATACTAAGTCGTATGCACCGGTACAATTCATATGTTGACTGCTTTAAGTTTGTTAAGTAAGTGTTGGGCCTGTATGTAAAGAACGCCTGCAAGAGAACCAAAGCTCTCATATAAGAGCCAATACACCTAACCATATGTTGCACCATTCCTTCGAAACATTTGATATATTTTTAGTATATGCTTGACTACCAAATTTACCATATTCGCTAAAATTACTGTTCAAAGAGTGGCTTATTAAGAGAATTTGTCAACTAGTACAAAATTTATTCCGCTATATTTTCGCAGGCATTTTGATCGCGAAAACTGTGTACTGGGAACTTATATACGGTGTAGCTTTGCGAAAGCAAGACAGCTTTGTTGTAGTTGTCATTAAAGCTACTTGATGTCTACACAAAAGCCTGCAGTTACATTGCATTTATTGAAGATACAAACTAAAAGGTACAACACTTTGCTGTCACGCCGCTGCCGCAGACGCTGGCGGAGTGTAAGGCGCGAAATCGTGGCATTGGTATAAAGTCAACGCTGTTGGTTGAAAGAGTGTACGCTACCGTTGGCAGTGGCGTATATTGGCGGTCGGTTTCCAAGCAGACACTGTAGTTACTAACAAAAGGCCAAGAAAGTGGAAAAAGTTCGCTGAAATAAAGTGGCAAAGGTGTGTGTCTGCTGATTGGTTGATTGAAGGGAAAACGTGTGCAAAATCAACTGTGTGGTGCCACGCAGATACACGGACATACACACATTTCGTCGGACGCGCATGTATGTATATGGTAGATATATTTGTAGTTAAGCAAGTTCTTGTATAGATCACTGTTTGCGCTTGCGTTGTTTTTTTATTAGTTGTTGTGTTGTTGGTCACATTTTCTTATTTATGTTGTTGTTATAAGCTATTTTTTGTAGTGGCTCTTTCATCCTTTGTGTTTGCCTTTGTTGCTACTTGAGTTGCTTTGAAAACGAGGTTGAGTAGCTACGACGAAAAGAAAGTTTAGGTAAAGGAGAACAATTTTAATTATTAATAAATCAATAGAGTGAAATTTGACTCGCTGGTAAACACTATCGGCCAGTCTCTTCCCAAGTTGGGCAGTGTCGTCGGTAGAGCCCACTGTTTGAAACAAAACCGATAGAACTTAAAGCGCACGCATTGCTTTGTATAAGCATTTATATGAGACGCAAAGTATCAAGCGCCAAGTATAGTACTTCAGCGCCGATGTGCTATGCTTTCGGCTGCGTTCCGCAAAATGTCGAAGCCCAAAGGAGTTTAAATTATTTATTTTCAACTTCCGGCTCTTTAGTCTTTAAACTCCAAAGCCAAACATTGTCATCGCTGCCTTATGGATCGAAGTTGATTTGGATATACCTGAGTTTGAAACTTCAACATTCAAAACTTTTTTCCCCAGTGAAGAGAGAGTTGTCTCCAGGGACCACTGTCGATTTTTACGCTCAAAATCTCTGTTCGCATAAGCACATACATATACAAGTATGAGTGATAAAGGAAGTGCGTGACAGATAATTTAGGAAGCGCAGTTTTACTGGTCAAATTAAAACAAAACACCGTTTATTTTACATTTATTAGTCGGTAAATTTATTTATTATCTATGCAGTTGCAGATATTTATGTTTTTACAAAACAAAACATTTCAAAATATATAGTGTAGAATATATTTATAATCTTTCGAAGTAGAATTTATTTTAGATCTAGCTCTTCTAAGTAAATGTGTACAAATTTTTAAAAACTACGCGTTAACATATAATTTCTCAGATTCTACATACATACATATATAAGAAAATATCAAATCAGCAAAATGTCATTACGCTTTGCAATTTCAAATATATTATATTATAGTTTGTTCAGTGTATTTCAAGATTCTCAAGAGTCATATTTAATAGTGACGTTTGTTTTCTTTGAATAGTTGCGTCATCTCAGTCTTGCCTCTACTAGCATTGCCTTTAGAAGGTTACTTAATACAGTAAGTGATAAACAATTTGGTTGATTCGTTCACCTGGTTTATAGTTCGTTCGATTCGTTTGTTTTGACTACAAATCTTGCAAAGTAGCTCAGACACAAATACACAAGTTTCTACGACATTTCCTTAGGACTTTCACATAGTATAGAAATGCCTTAGTATGGCGTAATCAGTCGATTTATTTGAGTGGTTTAGTTTAGTCGATAATTTTTTTTTTGTCTTACTCTAATGCTGCTCTCGAACCGCGACTATGCTTCAAACCAGTCTATTCATAGTACTGCGCTTTAATATTATTATTGGACACTACTTACTCAATTACGTTTACTCGCTTAAGATCAACTTTTCTACAATTAATTTTCATTTCACTCGGTTATTTCCGCTCAATTAGCGGCTGGTTCTGTGCCGTGCACATGCAAAATCATTTCAAATGGATCCCATTCCAAGTCGCTTTCGGTCTTCACACGTCCGCCAGCACCCAGACGTCGCCCCATACCCACAGCGCCAGCGACGCCGCCAACACCGCTCCCTACTACACCGGTTTGATGCAATGGCACCATGCCAACCACGCTGCCGTCTTCATACACACCCGACGTGGCACCCAACATGCTCATCGGCGGTGGCATGCCCAGCCGCATATAACGCATATGCTGTGCAGCAGCCGATTGCAATTGCTGATGCTCACTAACTATTTCCTGTATCTGCTCTCGCGTTTGCTCACGCTCGTCCACCTTCTTAATGAGTATGTCGCGCATAAAGTCCATGCGTTCGAAGTGCTCCCACGTGGAGTGAAAGGCCTGTTGAGTGAAGTGAGCGCGCCGCTCTTTTTGCAGTTCATCTACGTAGCGCTGTTTTATTATGGACCAACGAGTTTGAACAAGACCTTATCGAAAAAGTGCGACAATAGAAAAATAGGAAAACCATTAGTCTGTTTTACAGCTTGTGGCTTATTTGCTTAAGCTAAAATCTAATTGGCTAGAAGTTATGCTTTATGTGAACTCCCTACTTACTTGCAGTTAGTCCCAACTCGGCAGCAACCTCTTTCCACACAGCCGATGTGCGATTTTGCGCCTTACGTTGGCCCGGCACAGCTTCCTGTTGACGGCCGACCCACAAAGGCGGATGTGCCTTGATTACGTCGATGATGCGTCCGCGCATGCTATTATTCATGGAACCTGGCCGTCCCGGCTTGCGCATTGGTGTCGTTGTAGCCTCCACCGTTATGGCTGCCGGCGGTACAAGCCCAGTGAAACCAATGAATGGACTTGTCTCCACGCTTACCTCAGCTTGTGTCGATAAGGGCGTCGATGTTAGTAGCGGTTGCGGCATGCCACCTGGCGTCAATTGTTCGTGCATTTGTGTTGATAATTGTGTTTGCACTAGCTGCTGTTGTAGTTGTTGTGTCTGCGATTGTTGTTGTTGCTGTACCGGCAGCCATGTAAAACTGCCGCTGGGTCGTCCACGTCCCTGCGATTGCGGTGTGGTTGGTGTCGGCGGTGGCGTGGGCAGTGATACGGCTGTGGGTGACTGCAAATGCTGTGTTTGATTGCCATCATTGGCGCCAGCAGCCCCTACTATCTTTGCCACCGTGATGTTGTACATGAAAGACATCGGTTCGAAGTGCTCCCATTTGGTGGTAAAACGTTCCTTATGCAAAATTTGCCGATGTACTAGGTTATGGTAGTGGTATTTCATCTGACTCCAGATGGACTGGAGTTTTACTGTTTGGATGGAAGTCGGGTATTTATAAAACGAGTTTTTCTGTATGGTATTCGTTAAAAATTTCTTCTATCTATTAAGTAATAATGAGCAGCAGTCTAGCGATTTCATTCAGTATTACCTGTTCTAATATTAGATTATGAAATCTGGTATACTATCCTTATTATTATATTATATTAACTTTAACCTTAAACTTTTTTTAAATTTTTTTTTTAATTTTAATTAATACCAATTTTTCCTCGGTAATTATCAGGAATTTAAAACAGTTTCTCTAACTAGGCTTTAAACATAATGTTACGTTAAAACTTAACCTTAACCATAGACTCAATTTTGACTTTTTGCTTCCTTTTTACCTGCAATAATTTAGCTTTAATTTCTCTATGTTAACCTTAACTTCAACTTTAACGAAATTTGTTTATAACCTGCACGAGGTATATTAAGTTTGCCACGAAGTTTGTAACCCCCAAAAGGAAATGTCAGAGAACCTATAAAATGCATACATAAATGATCAGCATGATGAGCTGAGTTGATTTAGCCATCCGTCTGTCCATTTAGTCCGTCTGTCTATTCGTCTGTCCGTTCGTCCGTATATACGCGAACCCTTAGCTATCGGTCTGAGATTTTGCGCCTGCCCTTTCCTCACTAAGAAGCTGCTCATTTGTCGGAACAGCCGATATCGGACCACTAAAGCATATAGTTGCCATACAAACAGAACAATCAGAATCAAGTGCTTGTATGAAAACCTTTTTTATTTGACGTAATATCCTCACGAAATTTGGCATTGACTATTGTCTAAGCAATGTATTTCCCGAAGAAATAGTAGAAGTTTAGATCAGATTCCCTACTGAAGGAGCTGAACGATCGGAATCAAGTGCTTGTATGGAAAACTCTTTCATTTGACGAGGTATCTTCACGAAACTTGGCATGGATTATTATTTAAGGCAATTATTCGATATCCGAAGAAATTGTATAGATCGGATGACTATAGCATTTAGCTGCCATATTAACTGAACGATCAGTGTAAGGTGCTTGCATGGAAAACTCGAGTTATCATTTATCTTCACGAAATTTGATCGGTATCAAGATATTGTAAAGAACCTTTGTATCTGTGAAGGGTATTATAGCTTCGGTGCAACCGAAGTTAACGCTTTTTCTTGTTCAATATAACTTTGGATTCCAAACTAAAACTTTACCTTAACCGTAGCCTACACTTAACTGTAACATTATATGTATTTGTAAAAATAAGTAAGTATTGTTGGCTCTGTCTTACCTGTTGGCACATGCCCACCAAACTGTTCGGCTATCTCGTTCCACATGGGCGCTGTGACGCTGCGACACATGTGCAGTTTATTATTTGAGTCCCATATCTCCGGATACTTTTTGATTGCCTTCAAGAGTTGAGCGCGATTCACGAATGGATCTTCTTTTGGCATTGCAACGGTAAATGGCTGCTGCCAAAGTGAATGACGCTGTTAAAGAGGGCGTTGTGTAAATGAGCGTGCGCACGCGTGTTATACTTTATTTCTATGTGTGTGCGCTATAATATATAGTTTTTGTTGTACAAAGGTAAGTGGAGTAACAATTTAGCGCTTAAACCGGCAGTTAAACAAATAACATTTGCGAAAACATACGAAAATCGCCAAAAAAAAACGTATACAAATAAATATGGCGGCACTTGAAGCGGAAGTTGAACAGAAAATACACTGAACCCGGAACTAAATTAACAACAATTTGTTTATTATCGAAATCCTTGTTAATTATACGCGCCGTATGACCGACGCCGTAACGCGTCCTTTGACATCAATTATCGGCGAATAACTGAATGCAGAGAGCGCGCGAGAATATAGTACGAATATAAATGCGAAAAGGCACTTCGCGATTGGGGAAAATAGAGAACATCGACAACAGACATCGTACAAAAGCGTCTCAAATGCAATAACAACAACAACAGCAATAATCGGCAAAAACAAATGCAACAACAACAAAGGCAACAGCAATAACGTTGGTATTGTGCAAAAGCAAAAACACAGCAAAGAGTGTACGAGCAAAATGTGAAAAATGAATGAAACAAATAAGACATAAAACGAACAGGCAAAAGCAAATAGAAACACAAAACAGCATACCAAACCATAGCAAAATGAAGCAACTCGCACTGCAAACGCCGACAGCCAGAGCTGAGCAGCGCGTCAGCATCGGCTGTTGGTGGAGCAAAGTAGGCAGCCAAAGCAGAATGCCAAACACAGCGCGTAGCAATGCCAGAAACAAAAGGTAGTTACATGCAGCGTTTGGGTAGAGGCGGTGGCGACGCGGCAACAGAGGCACGGCACAAATTCCAGAGGCAGCAATGATGGTGTTATAGGCGGCCGCATACAGTGAGACCAAAGGCCGAAGTATTGTGACATAAAAAAGCAATAATTTTCAACATTTTCAGGGTGACTCTAGTTTGATAGATCTCCAACCCACACCCTAGTTCGATCTCGGTATCCGAGCAGTTTAGTCAGCAGCGATTACATATAAAACATCTTATCATAACATCTGACTAATTAAGCGGTTTTCAGCTCGCACTAATCAATGCATTGCTGAAGAGGTAACACACAAAGGTATAGAGAAGTTTGGCAGCATCTGATAAGGGTAAACGTGTGACTATTAACAATTTAATTTATATTGAATTAACTACGAAGAGAAACTCTACGACCATTGCATTACCAAGCTTAAAATTATTTGTGCCTTCCGTATGTCATTAGAAGGGAAAATTGTTATTAGACTTTTATTACAACGAGACCACTGTGCGCTGTCAACTATCACGGCATAACCGGCAAGCCGGCAGTCGACTGCGAATGACGGCCACGAATGTAACGAACGAAGCGCACACTGAAATAGAGAAGATATGGGAGACATGCGACCAAACCAAAGACCAGAGCCGGCCCGGGATATATATGTGTATGCAAAACCAAAACAACAACTAAAATCAGCAAATGAAGAGAACAATCGGACAAGCAACAAACTGGCGAAACTAACAAAAATAGCACAGAGCAACAGCAAACAAACCTGCACCGAACAGCCGCCGCAGCTCCAGAAGCCATCCACGACGTGCTAACATCCAACGTAAATATTGGCGAACAGTGCAGCTTGCGCTTGAACAAATGCAAAATAACCAAAAACAACATGCAAATAATGGCGATAAAAAACGAGATGGGTAAGGAAACTGCAATACATCGAGATCGGGTGAAAACGCATAGTCGGATAGCGGGAAGACTTGCGTGAGTGTGCCTTGCAAAAGTAGCTACAGCAAAATCAACTGCGAATGGATGGTGCACGGTTAGTGGGGCAACCGGCCAAGTAGTCCGCCAGTCAGCCAGCTAGTCGGCTTAACCATCAAGCCACACAACTGACTAGCCCCACGAACTGATGAAGAACATCGATACCACAGAACAGAGCCACAGCGTACAGCTAAAAAGACGACGAACTCGAATTTGAAAATACACAAACAAAATTACAGCAACGAGAAAATAAATAAAACTTAACATCAACATTAAATAAAAACTAAAAATAGAAGCAGAAATATAGCGAAAACAGAAAAATGAAATTCGCGACCGGTGATTTGCGTTGAAACGAACAAACGAGCCGAAAAGAGCGCACAAAAGCGAATTAAGCGAGAGCGGAGAATATGCAAGCATACAAAATACAAACCAGTAAGAAGTAGAGAAAGAGTACGAATGCAGGAAAGCCAAAAACAAATAAAATGGAAATAATAATTATAAAAATATTTTATGCGGGCAAAAGTAGTTGAGAAATTTATAGTTCTATATTTAAATTAAATAAATTGCAAACTAAAAGAAGAGAAAATCTAATACAAACACTTATGGGCAACCAACATTTTGGCTTGTGGAGCATTGCATGATGAGACGAGGTTATCTACTCTACAGCAAATATGCAAAGAAATGCATTCAAATGAACCCAAATAGTCCCAGTCAGCCAACTAAGCAAGAATAATCTTATAAACTTGTTATAATGTCTTATAAAGACTACCATTACAAAATTGCATTAAGTTGCTTAAGTAAGTTCTTCGCAGTGTAGTAGCAGAAGGGAGATGTGAGATGCTATTTTTCGGCTACCACCTAATCAATGCAAGAATCGGACTATAAAAACTGTTTTAGCATTTAATGTACTTGTAAACCGGCATTTTCGAGCTGGATCTGAAAAACCAAAGCAGTTTCTTTGAAGTACAAAATGCCTTCTACACCTTCAGCATTATATAATATATTGTGGAAGATCATTGCATCAAGAAAAACCGAACTACCTTCTAAGGTGGAGTGGACTATGCCACACATTTCACCAAATTACTCTATAATGAGCCAGATAGGCTCTCCATAGATACTCTGTAAGTTCCCTTTTCTCATTAGAAGCTTTATTAATTCATATTACTGATTTTGCCATATGATTGACTATTTTATGCCACTGCCACACCAATTAAAGTGTCTGTTGGGATAACGCTTGGGCATAGCAATCAACTAGGCTCGCAGCCCAAGAGTTGTTGCTAATCCAAATACACTACTATAGTAGATACTAAATCACCCAAAGCAGAACAGTTGGGAGGCCAATTTGGGTGCAAGCAGTAAGGCAGTCTGCCCGGGACGACGATAGGCTATGGTGGGGTATTGAGTATACTACTTGGCTGCAGCGAATTGGAGGCATAGAGAGCGCCAATGTGGAGAATGCAAATGCAGAGTAAAAACGAAATGGTCCGAGTGCAAAACAGAAATGCAGCAACTGAGAAAAGCGAAAATGGCGCAGAGCTAAAAGAGAGAAAAAAGACACACAGATAGAGATAAAGAGAGAGAGCGAACAGAGAAAACATGGCGTTTAAATAAACATTTGCAGTTGAATGTGCCTGACGGGTGGACTATTCGTGGAGGTGGCAACGAATGCACTGAAAAGCGAAGATTGCGTTTGCCAAGCGAGGCACGTTCGCTGTTGCAGATTAAAATATCACGCATGTACATACATACATATATACATATGTATGTGCCTAAGATTTTGCATGCGTGCATTAAATTGAATGTTTTTATGTGAGTGCGTGAGTTGATTTGTTTAGGCACCTGGCAACCGGCAGTTTCTTGCAACTGATTGTGGCTGCAGCGAATGAGAATGCATAAGAAACCCAATTAAGGAAAAACATATCACGACGAGAAATGTACTTTTCGTTTTTGACAACAACTACACATCCCCACTGCTTCCGTCAAGCACATACTCACTGCCACTAGGCGACATACGGTCAGCCTACTGTGCTTTGGTGCAGCTCCAGCATAGGCAAATTTACTGTTACCAACTGCTTGCCACAAAAAATTGCGCAAGCATAGCAAAGCAGAAACCTAAATTGACGATTTTAGATTAGAGAAATGCTGGAAGCGCCAAACGTGCAGCAGAGTGAGAGAGCGAGAGCAATGCATACTGGTTGGTCGATGTACCTCAAGAGGGAGTAGGAGGTGGCGCGGGTTGGCATTTTTCAGCGCACAATGTGCAACAGTCGAACTGGTCGGCAAAACGGCGTTGCGATAAAAAAACAGTTACTTGCAGTGGAATGAAAGCGACGAAGGTAGCAAAAAATAACAAAAAAAATCTTCTATAAAAGTAAAAAAAAAGTTGTTTACAATAATACTATTTCTGTATTTCTTATTGTCATATTATCGTGCCTTGCCGCTGTGGCGTTTCCCTTCGAAGAATCATTTTTGTACGAATAAATGCAAAAAACACGCAGGAAAATTCATAATAACACTCGAATAATGATTTCTCTAAATAAAAATAATGACTTTATAGATAATAATACACTGCGATGAGTAAATCAATGGAGTTATGCTCAGTTCACAAATAGCTCACGAATATTTTACAGAGGTCATATTGCAGTCCTATAACCCACTTAAAGCTTTATATCTGAAGTCTATGAAGGTTCAATTGTATGACAGCTGAAAGTTAGCTGCCCAGCAACACTTGTTACCCCTCTGACTAAATATTTGTAGATGATAGATGAATGCAATTAACGAACTACACTGGTACCGAAAGCTAACGCTATCTATCGAATTTTTTATAGAATTCACAAGTAGTTGGTTATTGTTATTGTTATTGTAGGTGTTGAAGAAGTGAATAACTCTTCAGTCAGCTCTTTGTCCACAAGATTTTATAGTGACCCTTGCGCAACTTTGTTCTGGATACTGTAGCAGGTTTAACTCCTACTGATACAGAATCGACCCCGACATACCAAATATATATCCAACAAGCAACGAGTCCCCGCATGACACTAACTACCTCTTTGCATGCCCAACAAACGCCTCCCAACTAACATCTTTTTCCTTGTGGTCTCACCTCATAGCAACAGCTCGTTTCCTGGCTCTACCGTTAGATGACTGCTACGACAATCAACCTGAACCCTACCACCCAATTCTCGGGAATTAGATAACCGTTAGAACAACAACAACCACATCAGCTCTTTGTAGAAGCTGCTTCATGTGAACATCGTGCCGAAATTATAGAGCAATTGGGATAGCATTTCAATAAAACGGGAATAAATTACTGGCAAGTGACACAAGCAAACAATAACAACATTGTATTTTTAGTAAACAACGCAATAGTTTTATAATAGAGAGCAAATTTTTTCCCGCCACGGGCAAGCGCATCGAACGTAAACAAGCGTCTGCCGAACTATTTGCCCTCGAACGGGCGTTGAACCCAGAAACGGCTTGTGCTAAATAATATTAGCGAAAAGTGCAATACACACATATACATGCACAAATAGGGATATATACACGTACACGTACCTAGAAGAATATAAGAGGTGCTCGATCGCGACACGTTTTCCCAGGCGCATATTTTGCTGTTTTACGATTTACACGAGCGGGTAAATTAATTGCAAGAAATTCGGTTTGTAAAAACCCGAGAAGAAATTTAAATAAATTGCATTGTATCTACGTATCGGCATGTGTTTGTTGTAGATACGAGCAATAGGTAGGCATGTGCGGCGATGATTAGCTACATTTTCGCGCTCGTGCATTTGATTGCCACAATATTTCAACTTATCAAAAGCCTACGTGTATATGTGTGTGTGTGCACTTAGAATGCAAGCCGCACGGTGTCCGTCCATGCCAAGCCGCCGATGTCGGTCAATGTGCGGAAGCAGCGGCAACTTACACGTGGTGGGATTATGCAAAGGTGTATGTGTGTGTGTGTGTGTGTGCGAGCGTGTGCAAATATGCAAATAGGAGAAACTGTGGGGCGTGCAGCGCGGCTGTTGACCGCATTTTCAGCGGAAAGTGCGACCGAAAAGTTAATGAACCGCAGAATACATTTCTAGGTGTGAATTGGTTAGATAACAACAATAGCAATAACAACGCCTCTGTTAGATAGCAGCATGTGACAATTTGCGCAAAGTGGCGGTGCAGCGGCCGACGCACAAGATGTTCGTACACACACCCACGCGTTCATTGGCCCCTTCCCCAATTAAAGCACTTCACTTCAGTCATTGCGTCGCGTATTTGCTCATTTGCTCAGTCCATTGACCATTCGCACCATCGCTTAAACGCGTTGTTTGGCGCTACAACGCTTAGTCATTACAAAGCAAGCGCACAAATGGAAACAACAACAACAAAAACAAAAATCGCGCCAAATGAGTTGAAAATGCGTTGCACACTGATAGCAAAAAGTATGCGTACACGAGTAGGCGCCACCGAAGCTCGCTAAACAAGTATCACATACATGTATGTATGTATGTATGCGCGCATAGATATGGCGTCAGTTGGTGACAGTGGTACAATGTTTTCGAGGGCTTATGACCTATAAAGTATAATATAATGATAACAAATCAGCTGCACTGCGGTGTGTGTCGCCCAACTAATTAAGCTTGTGCGCACTCAGACACACACACATGCGCGCGCGTATGCTTGTAAGAATTAATTCACTCAACTGTTAACCGTAAAATATAACCGATGGCAATGAGCTAAATTAGTTGCGTTAATTTTCCTAAACAGAGCGCTGACCCTATGCTCTTTTATTGATTGAGTTAAAAAAAATAAATAAATAAATAAGTGTGATCTGCTGAGATTCTATATTAGCTCTTTAGAGGTCTCTCAAGCGTCACAAAAATAAATAAATAAGTAAGTGTGATCTGCTGAGATTCTATATTAGCTCTTTAGAGGTCTCTCTTATAACTATAAGAGCGCATCTTGATTTATTGGTTCTGAAAATGCTCTGATTTGTAAGTGTAGACTCTATGCTAAATTGAAGTATCAAAGAATTAGCGAATAGCCTTAAAATATGATATGTTCTCTACGAGCTAGAGCCATTATTTAAATATATAGGTATTATATTTTCTTTCAATGGCGTCATGTAATTATTTGGTATTAGTAATACACATGAAAACTGTCAGACTCAGCGTTGCAAGCGACTCATAAGGCCAAAATTTATTTGAAAAAAACGCAGAGCAGTAAAAACTGCAATTTAGTTTAAAATATAATGGAAGTGTTTAGTGGTGAATAACATTTCTCGATCTAAGACCACAATAGTTCCACAATTTTACGTTTTTGAAAGTGTTCGGGAGTGAAGAAGATTTCTCATTCCACAATTTTACGCTAATCATTTTTTTCTATAGTAACGTGGCTGATATTCGAAATTAGTGGCTTCTAAACTAAAAATTGGACGATGCTATATTTTCCGTATATTGAAGTGAGCTTAGAAGTCTGTATCAACGCTTTTTCAAAGCTTGGCCAGTACAAGCAAGTATCTCTGTTATTTTAAAGATAATGGGAACTTCACGCAGTAAAGAATAAATGATATAGACTTCAAATAATCTTAAATGCTAAAATACTACCGATTTAAAGGGGTTTCCATAATTGATTTATTCTAACGTGGAATTTGGGGCTTGTTGCTGAAAAGGTACACATACCTTTCAATAACATCTTTCCAATTGTTCAGTTTGTATAACAGCTGTATGCTATTGTATCGATCTTTACAATTTCTTCAGATATTGCATCAATGCCTTAGATAATAAGCCATGCCAAATTTCGTGAAGATATCTCGTCGAATAAAAAAGTTTTCAATACAAGCACTTGATTGCGATCATTCAGTTTGTATGGCAGCTATATGCTACAGTGGTCCGATATCGGCGATTCTGACAAATGAGCAGGTTC